ATATGATGGCTTCTTTGTTCATAGGTTATTTAGAAGCATTAACTATTAGTTGAAAATACATGGGTTCTCTGGGTATATTTTTGTTATTATTTCCAGCAATTTTGCATTGTGGACAGAAAAAAATACTCTGCTACTTCAGTCTTTTGAGATTTGATGAGACTTGCACTATGGTCCAGTATATGAATTTTTTTTTTTGAGGGGGCAAGTTTTGCATGCGTATTTGAAGACAATATGCATTCTGCTGTTGTGGGATGTAGTGTTTTATATATACATATTAGGTCAAGTTTATTATGTGGTTCAACTTTTCATCATTTTTCCTAAGTTTGAAAATTTTTGTTGAATTACTGAAAAAATTGGTTAAAATCTCCCACTTCAATTCTGGATTTCTCACTTGAGTTCTGTCAGTTTTTCTTTACATATTTTGAAGCCATGTTATTAGGAGTATAATTTAAGATCGTTTTACCTTTCTTGTGAATTAAGTCTTTTATTATGAAGTGTTCCTTTATCCCTGTAATGCTGCTTTGCCTTGAAGTCTCTTTTATGCCAGCTATTAACACATTGATATCAGCCTTCTTTGATTAGTGTTTACATGGTATACATTTTTCTATTCTTTAAAATATTTTTAAAATTGAGATATAATTGACTCTTTTAAATTGTACAATTCAGTGGTCTTTAGTATATTCACAGATATGTGCAACCATCACCAGTATCTAATTCCACAACAGTTTCATGACCCAATAAAGAAACTCCATACCTCTCAGCAGTCACTTCCCATTCCCTCCTCCCTCAATCCCTTAGTAACCACTCATCTACTTTGTCTCTATGGATTTGCCTATTCTGGACATTTCATATAAATGGGATCATATAATATGTGGCCTTTTGTATCTGACTTTTTTCACTATAGGGTTGCTATGAGTTGGAATTGACTTGATGGCAATGGATTTGGTTTTTTGGTTTACTTCTCTTACTATAATGTTTTCTAGGCTCATCCATGCCGTACCATGCATAAGTACTTCATGCCTTTTTATGGCCAAGTATATTCCATTGTATGGATTTACCCCATTTGTTTATTCATTCATCAGTTAACTTTCTGGTTATTATAAATAATAATGCTATGAAAATTCATGTACAAGTTTTTGTGTGAAAATATGTGTCTTACGCTAGGTTCTACAGAGAAGCATAACCAGGGAAGTGTGTGTATGTGTTTATGTATATATAAAGAGAGAGAGAGAGAGATTTATATCAAGGAAATGGCTCATGTGGTTGTTAGAGGCTGGAAAGTCCAGAGTACGTGGGTCAGGCGTCAGGCTGGAGGCTTCTCCTCACTCACGTAGCTGCAGGGGCTAAGGAACCCAAGATCAGCAGGTCAGACAGCAGGCTGCTTGCTCAAGTTCCAAGAACTGGGGATCAGGTGATAATGAGCCAGATGCAGGATCCAGAGCAAGGAAAAGCCAGTGAGATTTGCCAAAAAGTCCATAGATATTGGATGCAGGCCACACCCCTAAGGAAACTCCCTTTCAACTGACTGGCTGCTCATAGAGGTGACTACATTATATGAGATCTCATCATGGAGGTAATTACATCATTACATTATTGAATAACTGCTAAACTACATCATAACTGCCAAACCACTGAGAATCATGGCCCAGCCAAGTTGACACACAACTTTAACCATCACAATGTTTTCAAGTCTCTTGAGTATGTATCTATGAGTGGATCTTTTTCTATTTTTGTACACTGCTCTTTTCTCTAATCTTTATGTTTTAGGTGTGCCTCTTGTAAACAGCACACTGGATTTGATTTTTTATTTAAGCCAACAATTTCTGTATATTACCTGGGAGCATTTAGTAATCGGGGAAGTGAAAATTATTACTACAATGAGATATCATTTTATACAGTAGTGTGTTGGTTAGGATGCACATCAGTGGGGATCCTTATACAGTGCTAGTAAGAATACAAATGGGCACATTCACTTTGGAAAACAATTTGGCACTATCTCATAAAAGTGAACATTCATATGTATTATGATCCAGAAATTCCACACTTAGATACTGTTATGCACTGAATGTGTTCCCCTACAATTTATGTTGAAGTTCTAACCCCTGTACCTGTGAACATGACCGTGGTTAGAAATAGTCTTTGAAGATCATTTATATTAACATGAGCTCACACTAGAGTACAGTGGGGCCTAATGCAATCTAAGTGGTGTCCTGTAAAGAGGAGAAGAAACACAGAGAAGGATAGAGGGAAGAAGGCCATGTGATGACAGAACTGTGCTGCAGCTAAAAGCCAAGGAATGCCTGGGGCTACCAGAAATTGGGAGAGACAAGAAACTTACCCTGGAGACTTCAAAGAGAACATGGCTCTGCCGACACCCTGAATTTGGACTACAAATTTCTAGAACTGTGAGACAATAAATGTCTATTCTCATAAGCCACTTGGTTTGCAGTACTTTGTTACAGTAGCCCTAGGAAACTAATACAGATATACACCCAGTAGAATCCATTCCACTTGAGTACCAAAGGTAAGAACAAGAATTTATAAACAGGAGACCTCATACCATCAAGAAAGCAGTGCCGGGAGCAGACTGCGTCCTTTGGACAGGGGTCCCTGCGCTGAGAAGCTCCTAGTCTGGGGGAACACCGAAGAGAAGGCCGACAGAGAGGAAAAGTCTTCCTCTGGAGCCAACACCCTGAGATTGGACTTTTAGCCTACTTTGGCTGTGAGGAAATAAACTTCTCTTCATTGAAACCATCCACTTGTGGTATTTCTGTTATAGCAGTACTAGATGACTAAGACAGAATTTGGTACCGGGAGTGGGGTGCTGCTCTAACAGATACCTAAAATGTGGAAGCGGTTTTAAAACTCTGAATGGATAGATGTGCGACAGTGACAGAGGACCAGCAGCAGCAGAGAACCTACAGCAGCAGAGAAGCAGCAGCAGTAGAAAACCAACAGCAGCAGAACCAGGAGACTAGTGCAAGACGGCACTGGTGGCGACCCACAGAGCAACAGAGCTGAGTGCCTGGGTGCAGGAGGCTTCCTGGCAGAGTGGGGTGCCTCCAGGCACTTATACCGGTGGAGCTACAGAGCTTTGGAACACTTGCCCCAGCAAGGCAGATGTGGGCATGAGGCCCGAGGGCCAAGAGGCCACAGAAAACAGAAGCAGAAGCTGAACAGACAAGGGACACAAGAAGCCGACCTGCTTCAGTCTCAAAAGGTATGGCCATGACCTCAGGGGTTTCAAAGGGTGGAGCCATGGCCTCTGGTGTTTCTAAGGGTGGAGTTGTCACTCCGATGGACTAGGAGAATGGTGGGCCTAAAGCCAAGGGAGCAGAGTTGCTGTCCCAGTGGGCCTGGAAGGCGGAGCTGAAGCCCAGGGCCGAGGGGCCTCCACTCAAAATCCAGAGACTGTGGCCAATGCCTAGAGTCTGGAGGGCAGAGCTATTGTGTAAATTGTCTCAGAGAACAGAAGATTATTTTCAAAGCCTTGAGGGCTAATGTAATGTGTTCTGCTGACTTGCTTGGTGCCTGTTACCACTTCTTTCCCTGCAATTTCTCCCATTTGTAATGGAAATGTCTAGCTTATGCCTGTTCTGCCATTGTACCTTTGGAAGCAGATAACTTGTATTCTAGATTTCATAGATGAAGAGGAATTTTTGGATTTTGGACTTGGAGTTAAGACTTTTGCTATGATATGATGGGGTGAATGTTTTCCATGTTGCAAGGATGTGATTTTTTGGGGGCCAAAGGGTGGAATGTCATGGTTTGCATTGTGTCCCCCAAGAAGTGTGTGTATCAATTTGGCTGGGCCATGATTCCTGGTACTGTGTGAGTTTCCTGCATGTTGTAAAACCTGCCTCTATGATGTTAATGAGGGAGGATGGCTGGCAGTTGTGTTAGTAAGGCAGGACCTGATCTACAAGACTGGATTGTGTCCTGAGGCAATCTCTTGAGACATAAAAGACAAAAGTGCTCAGTGAGACAGGGAGACCTCATACCATCAAGAAGGCAGTGCCGGGAGCAGAGTGCATCCTTTGGACAGGGGTCCCTGCGCTGAGAAGCTCCTGGTCCGGGGGAACACCGAAGAGAAGGCCAACAGAGAGGAAAAGCCTTCCCCTGGAGCTGACACCCTGGAATTGAAATTTTAGCCTACTTTGACTGTGAGGAAATAAACCTCTCTTCATTAAAAAAAAAAAAAAAAAGAATTTACAAAACAATATTGCTCCTAATAGCAAAAATATGAGACTCAAATATCCACACTCATTAGAATGGAGAAGTAAATATTGGCAAAGTCGTATGTTTTGGATATGATGGCATATCAGTACATAAATTACTTCCTTCTTTATGGAGCTATATTATTTCCCATTGTGTGGATATATTTACCAATGGAAAGTTAGGTTGTTTTCAATCTTTTGCTGTTACAAAAAATGCTGCAATGAATAACTTTGTAATAAGTCATTTTACACATGAAAATGTATGCAGCGTAAATGTATGCAGCGTAAATTCCTAGAAGTTGAACGTGCATTTGTGATTTTGATAGAACTAAAGCTCTCTATGTAACAATATAACAATGTATCCTGCTGCCATTAGTATATGAGAGCACCTGTTCTATGCTGCTGCAAGTTTCACATCTTCCTTTCCAAAGTTTATACCTTGTATTTGCTTTTCTTGCATTATAGCACTCCAGTATAATGGTGAAAAGAAGTGATTATTGTGGAAATTTTTGTCTTTCTGAATTTGGGAGATAATAATACAAATAGTTGTGAATCAAATCCTCCAATTATTGATTATCTAACTTGATTAAAAAAAAAAAAAAGCTCAAGACCGCTATTTGTAATGGCTGCAAATCATTTTGTCAAAAGGATCAACAAAAATTTATATAACCATTCCACTTATACTGTGTATTTTTCTCTCATTTCTGAGATTCAGGTCACAATTCTCAATATTGTATCTGTCCCTTTGCAATGTATGTTTACACAAGGGCAAATAATCCCCATATATTTATTATCATTTAACTGAATACCAGCTTGTGCATATGGTATCCAGATTACACAGATATCCCAAAATGCCAGTCTTGTTTTATATACTATTACTTAGCCATTTTCCTATAATTGGCTATTTAGGCTAGTTGTGGTTTTTGTTACTGCAAATTACACAGTAACAAAGAAGTATTCTTGGCATCAAGTTCCACCTCTGTCACATATTAGATATGAGACCTTGAGCAAATTGCTCTTCTTTTTTAAGGTCCAGTTTTCTCATCTGTAAGAGAGACAATAGTGTTGTTTTAAGGATTATTAAATGAGATATGGCATGCAAAGTCTTTAAATAGTTTTAGGAACATAGAAAGTGCTCAATAAATATTAGCTGTTATGATTATTACAGTACTAAGTGAACATTTTGAAACATATGCTTTTTCTTTGATACAATTAGGTCCTTTCTGAGATGGTATCTGTGATTCAGATATCTGGAACTTAATGAAGCTGGTGACTCTGTGGCAATGTGGAGAAATCATGACAGAAAATGTGGTTTGTACCGGGGCTGTCAACTCCATAAAGGAAATTTGGGAAAAAAGAATAAAGAAACAAAATGAAGATCTGAAGCGAGAGAAAGAATTTCAACAGAAGTATGTTATAACATGCTTATTAATGAGAATTCATAACACCATCATTACAAAATAGAGCATTTATTAAATGCCTAGTTATAACTAGCAAACAAATGAAATGTTCTTTGATGGCTACTTTTGTTGATTTATCATTTATCATTCTAATTGGCTAAAATAGCCAAATTTCAATTTAAACTTATTTTTTCTTTGTTAACTATACACGAAAAGTTTTCTAAGACAGAAATAATAGAAAACCTTTTGCTAGTTATTTTATAGCTTGATATTATTTTCATGTATGTTTTCAATGGATGTAAAAACCAATAGGGGTATGCCTCAGAATAACTAAGATTTTATGCATTTTTATATCTGAAAAACAAAGTCCAGATAAAACTGGAATGTGGTAGTATGCAATTTAACTCTGAAGTTGAACCATATTGTTAGCAAGCCATGAAAAAACGTATTTATTAAATATCTATGGATTTGCACCAGAGAAATGCAACATCAAAACCACAATGAGATACCATTTCACACCCATTAGGATGGCTATAATAAAAAAGTTGGACAATAACAAGTATTGGCAAAGATGTGGAGAAATTGGAACCCTCATATATTGCTGGTGGGAATGTAAAATGGCATAGCCAATTTGGAAACAATTTGACAGTTGCTAAAAAAGTTAAACACAAAGTTACCATATGATCCAGCAATTCCACTCCTAGGTATATACTCGGGATAAATGAAAACATGATCACACAAAAACTTGTACACAAATAATGATAACATCATTATTCGTAATAGCTGTAAACTGGAAGCAACCCAAATGTCCAATAATGGATGAATAGATAGATAAAATGTGGAAAATCCATACAAGGAAATATTATTTGTCCCTAAAAGGGAATGAAGTACTGATACATGCTTACAGAATGGATGAACCTTGAAAACATGCTAAGAAGCCAGATACAAAAAGCCACATATTGTACAATTCCATTTATACGAAACGTACAGAATAGGCATATCTATAGAGACAGAAAGTAGATTAGTGGTTGCCAGGAGCTGGGGGGAAGGGGAAATGGGGGACTGTTAATGGATACGGAGTTTCTTTTTTGGGTCCTGCAAACGTTTTGGAATTAGATAGTGGTGACAATGGCACAACTCTGTGAATATACTAAAAACCACTGAACTGTATACTTTAAAAGGATGAATTGTAAGATGTGTGAATTATAACTCAACAAAGCTGTCATAAAAAATCTATGGAGCGTTGTGACATTTTTCAAAAACTTAAAAATAATGTCATTATGGTACTAATCAAATTTATAATTCTTACAAATAAATTTTTGTTTGATTTCCAGATACCATTGATCAAATGGTTGTCTTTCATAAGTCATATAAAAAAGTAAATGCTACCTATCTCATTAACTATGAACTAAAATGATTTCCTGGTCTCCTAGGCTAGTGCGGGTCTGGGAAGAGAGAGTTAGCTTAACTAAGCTAAGAGAAAAGGTCACCATGGAAGATGGAAGAGCTGTTTTGAAGATAGAAAACGAAGAATGGAAGGTAAGTTTTAGAGACGTGATATTCAATTTTCTGTATCTTGTATTTTGTAGGAGAGTTCAGAAAATTATTCTGAGACTGTGTAATTAAGACCAACAGTTTTTAATTTTAATTAAAAAATGCAAATTAATTTGGGCAACATGAATATGACATTTTTTTCTACAAAAATTCAATCATTTTGCCTCAACCCTGCCTATACTAAGTCATTTGTAATACTAAAAATGCAAATTAATTTGGGCAACATGAACATGACATTTTTTTCTGCAAAAATTCAACCATTTTGCCTCAGCCCTGCCTATACTAAGTCATTTGTAATAATTTCCCCCACTAACTCTTTTAAGAAGCAATTTCTCCTTTTCCACTAAAAATAAAAAGACGACCATCTGCCTAATTAAAATCATTTAGCTTTTCCAAAGCAAATGCTCAGTGAAAACGTCACAAAATGGAAATGGATATTAATTTTTTTTTAGGCCCACCACATGATTATTCTCTCTCTGTCTCTCTCACGCACACAAAGTTGCTTAATTACTTTGACATGTTCTGATTTTTTACAAGGTCCTCTAAGCTTCTTTTGGAGTCCCTGGGTGGTGTAAATGATTAACACACTCAGTTGCTAACCGAAAGGTTGGAGGTCCAAATCCTACCAGAAGCACCTCAAAAGAAAGGCCTGGTGATCAACTTCCCAAAAAGCAGCCATTGAAAACTCTATGGAGCACAGTTCTACACTGACACACATACAGTCACCATGAGTTAGAATCAGCTCACTGGCAACTGGTACTGGTAACCTTCATTTTCTCTTCTGGCCTTCATAGGCTGAAAGGGAAAAGGCATAAAATTCAGAATAGCTGAAACTTCAAAAACATATAAAATCCTTCAAAACAGGAATGGAAGGAAATCTGAATTATTGATTACAGTGGTTTTTTTTGTTTCTCTATGCTTTTGATTAACCACCATTTTCAATAACATACACACTCTAGGAAAAGCAAATACGACACAATTTTTAGGACATAGTTTTGTTTGTGTACTATTGACCAAAATACATTATTTTTGTTCATTCTATTATGATTGGGTTTTGAAGGTTCAGAAAAAAAAGGAAAGGTCTTAAAAATTAGAAGAAACACAAAACACTTGGAAATGTAATTCATCAAGGAAGATATTCCAAAGTGCTTTGAAAAATCAAAAACTATTGCTACAACCCAGAGGTAAGTCCATCCACCTATGAGCAGCTGAGTTTTGACAAAGAGTTAAAATCCATTCAGCATGGAAGAAACAGTCTCTTTAACAAATGGTGCAGACAAAACTGGATATCCATTTGCAGAAAAATAAAACAGGATCCATACCTAACACCATACACAAAAACTAACTCAAAATGGATCAAAAACCTAAAGTTTAAAGCTAAAACTATAAAATTCCTAGAAGATAATATACAGACAAAACTATGGGGTCTAATTATTTTCAGTAATAGATTACCAAACACAAGGACAAATGCATGAGCAACAGAAGACAAATTAGATAACTGGGACCTCCCAAAAATTAAATACTTATGCCCATCAAAAGACTTTTTGAAAAGATTAAAAAGAGAACTACAGATTGGGAAAAAATCTTTGGGAATGACATATCTGATAAGGATCCAATCTCTAAAATATATGGAAAACTTTAACAACTTAACAACAGAAAGACAAACAATCCAATTAAAAAATGGGTAAAGGACATGAACAGACACTTCACCAATGAGGACATTCAAGCAGCCAACAAACACATGAAAAGATGCTCGTGATCATTAGCCATCAGAGAGATGCAAATCAAAACAACAATGAGATACCATCTCAACCCTTCCAAAATAGTACTGACTGGAAAAAAAAAAAAAACAAAAAAACCAGAAGACAACTGCTGATGAGGTTGCAGAGAGATTGGAACCCTTATCTACTGTTGGTGGGAATGTAAAACGGTAGAACCACTATGGAAAATGGTATGGTGCTTCCTCAAAAAGTTATAAGTAGAAATACCTTATGATCCTCAGGAATGACTGAGTGGCAGCGTGGGGGGTGGTACCTGAGTTTGAGTGGCCAGAAATAACCTTTGAACTAGAACCTACATCCTGATGAAGAGAACTAGGGAGAGAACATTCCTGGTAAAGGGAACAGTGACTTCAAAGACTCTAAAGGAGAACAACTTTGGCATGTTTAAAGCAGAGCAAAGAGATTCAGTGAAGATGTGAATCCCAGTAAAAAAAAAACATGGCTTGTAAAAATTTGGGAAAAATGTTTAAACTCATTTATATTTAAAGTTGTAGTTAAGCCATAATTAAAAATGTTCCTGTTCACTTAAATTTTCAAATTAAAATGAACTGAAATATGTTTCTCAAAAAAAAAAAAAGAAAAAAAAGGCCTATGATCCAGCAATCCCACTCCTGGGCATATACCCTAGAGATAGACAATGCACACCTATGTTCACTGCAGCATTATTCATGTGATAGCAAAAAGATAGGAATGTAAGTACCCATCATCGGATGAAAGGATAAACAAAATATGGTATATACAAAACAACAGAAAACTATACTGCTATAAAGAATAATGATGAGTCTGGGAAACATAACATGGATGAATCTGAAGGACATTATGCTGCGTGAAATAAGTCAAGTACAAAAGGACAAAAATTGCATGATCCCACTTTTATAAAAAGACAAAAAGAGGTATATATACAAAAATCAATGTTCTTTGGTGGTTACCAGGGATGGGAGGGGGAGGGAGGGGAAATCACTTTCTAGATAGTAGATGCTTGTCATTTTTGGTGATGGGAAAGGCAATAGCAAATGAGGGTGAATTTTGCACAACTTGACCAAGCTAAATGATGATACTAAGAAGTACACAAGAATAAGGGACATTTTTAGTAAATGATATAACATACACAATTCTGCAACTACATCAATAACAACAAAAAAATCTGTGTTTGGTTACATAGGTAGATATGTATGCATATATGTGTATAGGAAGGCAGATGTGGATGCATGTACAGCTACATCTGTAGGCATAAATACAAACATGTTTGTGTGTGCTACATATATATCCAGATATATAATAAAGCACATAGGAGGCAAAGTTACAGAGACTTCCTAGACATAACCAAACTCCTTGCAGGATTAGTTTACTGGTTTGAAGGCTTAGGACCATGGTCTCATGGGACAACTGGGTCAATTAGCACCACATAGTTAATAAAGTTTATGTTCTACATCCTAGTTTGGTGAGCACTGTCTGAGGTCTTAAAAGCTTGCTAGTGGCCATCTAGGACACAGCTATTGGTCTCTACTCATCTGGTACAAAAGAGAAAGAAGAAAACCAAAGACTCAAAAGAAGGAACTATTCCACAGGACTAACAGCCCACAGGAACCATGGCCTCATCTATCCTGAGACCAGAAGAATTAGATGTTGCCCAGCTACCACTACTGACCATTCTGAGATAGTCCCTGGTAGAGTGGGAGAAAAATGAAGAACAAAACTCAAATTTAAATAAAAGGCTAGACTTACTGGACAGGTGGAGACTACAGGCACCCCTAAAACTCTCACGCTGATATACCCTTTAAACTTGGAACTGAAACCACTCCCAGAAGTCACCTTTCAGCTAAGTAACAAATTGGACCATAAAACAAACAATATCACTACTGAGTACTGAGCTCTTAAAAAAAAAAAAAAATCATCTATATGAGGCCAAACCGTCAACATTAACCCCAAAGAAAAGACGAGAAGGTAAGGGTGGGGGGCAGGGAAGCTAGAGTAATGGAAATGGAACAACCAGGATGGAAATAGAGAATGTTGACACACTGTGAAAAATGTAACAAATGTCACTGAACAATATCTATAGAAATTGTTAAATGTGAACCTAAATTGCTGTGTAAACTTTCACCAAACACAATAAAATATTTTCTTAAAAAACAATTGCTACAATAATACTGTCAGTGTGGCATGGTACTGAAATAATACAGTGACTCTGTCACTTTTTTACTTGAGTTTAGACCCTCCCTTCGTCTCTACTGAAACTGAATCAGCTACAGGAATGGCAACTTCATAGAACTGGTTTGTTGAAAATTCCTGAATTCATTGGAAGATTCCAGAACCTTATCGTGTTAGATTTATCTCGAAATACAATTTCAGAGATACCTCGAGGAATTGGTAAGGAATATTGCTATTATTCTTGTGCTATTTTATCCACCTGCAGATGTGATTTTTACTGAGGAAAATTTTTTAATACATGGAATAAAGATCTCATCTTTATATAGTCTTGAGAAAAATGTAAACATCTAATCTAAATCAAAGCTTTCAAGAGATTCAAGCTTCTAGAGTTACTGAGATGATTCACGATGAGATTTCAATTAAGGAAAGTTTCTTTGGAGATATTATTGTGTAGATTCTAGAAATAACACTGCTCTTTCAGCTGTAACTTCTGGAAGAGAACCAGTTGAGGAAAAAAAAAAAAGAAATCCCTAAAAGGAAAATTTCTCAGGCTATGGTGCAGATAAAGCAGAATGATTTTTTTTTTTTTTTTTTGCCAATAGCACTGATAGACCACTTCCTTGTTTGAAGAAAGGGCAGGACAGAGACTGGGAAAAGGGAAGAACCTAAGAACTATAAATTTGCCAATATGAAACTGGCAAGTGTTATACTGTAATACTTAATAGCTGGAAACACTATTTTATATTTATCTGTTCTTTATTATATATTATTTTTTGTAGGATTGCTCACTAAACTTCAGGAATTGATTCTTAGCTACAACAAAATCAAGACTGTTCCCAAGGAACTAAGTAACTGTGCCAGCTTGGAGAAACTAGAACTTGCTGTTAACAGAGATATCTGTGATCTTCCACAAGAGGTCAGAAAGACACAAATGCCTACAACTTTATTTTTCATCTATTAATGTTTTACTTCTCAACTGTATGGTCATGAAAAATAAAACTAACAAAGAAATGCTGTGAGTTTTAGTTCAGAAAAAAATATTTAGTGAAAACTATTTCCTATTCTTATAAGAATAATGCATGCTTTAATTAGAGAAGGATCTGCTTAATCCAAAAGATACTTCTATTATTTCACACTACTGGCATCATTTATTGACTAGATTGTGATCTTCTTGAAAGCTAGATTGAGTATCTTATTTTTATATCCCTGGAATTGAGGGTAGAACCTAGGTTGTACTGGTTATTTAATAAATGGTTTTTAAATGAACAAATTAAAAATGATCACAAATCACAATGTTGTGATAGAAAAACTCGTTTACTAGTTTTTATAGAGTGATCAGTTTTCAGCTAGAGGTGAAATGATGAGACATTAATTACTGAGTTTAGGAAACATATTTCTTTGCTAGATTCCTAGGCTCTACCAAGTAAAACCAAGAAAACAGGCTTGGAAAGCCTTCAAACTTTGATTTGGTATAATGTCTTGTTATTGGCCAAACTGATCATATAGATACAGACATTTGTATTATTTTTCAAACATACTTAATGCTCTTAAAATAAGCAAATTTCCATTGTGCTTTGCCTTGATAACAATGACTCTGTGAGATAAGAGCTTAAAAAAAAAAAAAAAACTCAAAATAAAATACAAGACTATTCCCTTCTCATACTTTACCTTGGTGAGTATACTAGTTTTTTGTCTTTTGAAACCAGTAAACATGTCACCAATAGTTGTTGCTCTAGCAAGTAAAAAAGCTTCAGATATGTATTTCATCTTATGATTCCATTTAACAAAATGTATGCCCTTGCTTATGATGAAAATGATGATCACAGAGACAATTTCTTTATACTACAAGAGGGTCAATAAATATTTCCAGTTTCTAATTATAGTGATTTTTATTTCTAGGATTGGTTTTGTGACTGAAAAGCTGAATGAATTTGGGCATGTCTATTAACCTGTATTTACCTTAGTTTTTTCATTTATGGAAAGGGATTATAGTGGTACAAATACTGAACTGAGATCTTAAGCCTACAATTCTTTAATTTCAAAAGTATGGTTCTGAGCTGTGGGGACCATGGTCTTGGGGAACATCTAGCTCAATTGGCATAACACAGTTTATAAAGACATTGTTCTACATTCTACCTTGGTGACTAGTGTCTGGGGTCTACCTGTGAGCAGCCATCTAAGATACTCCACTGGTCTCACCTCTTCAGGAGCAAGGGAGAATGAAGAGAACAGGATACAAGGAAAAGATTAGTCCAAAGGACTAATGGACCACAACTACCAAGGCCTCCACCAGACTGAGTCCAGTACAGCTAGATGGTGCCTGGCTACCACCACTGACTGCTGTGACTGGGATCACAACAGAGGGTTCTGGACAGAGCTGGAGAAGGATGTAGAACAAAATTCTAACACACAAAGAAGACCAGATTTACTGGCCTGAAAGGGAGTGGAGAAACCCCGAGAGTATGGCCCCCAGACACCCTTTTAGCTCAGTGGTGAAGTCATCCCCGAGGTTCACCATTCAGACGGGGATTGGACAGCCCCGTAAAACAAAACAGGACTAATGAGGCACAGCAGTCCAGGGGCAAGGACTAGAAGGCAGTGGGGACCAGAAAGCTGGTGATAGGGAACCCAAGGTTGAGTGAGGACAGTGTTAACATGTAGTGGGATTCTTAACCATTGTCATAGGGAAACGTGTACTGTTTAATGAGAAACTATTTTGTTCTGTAAACCTTCATCTAAAGTGCGAATAGCAGCACAACTGGAAGAACGTAACTGATGTAACTGAATTGTACATGTAGAAATTTTTGAAATGGTGTATCTTTGGCTATGTATATTTTCACCAAAAAAAAAAAAAGGGGGTTCTCCAAGGCCGAGAAGGGAGCGTGTTGACCTGTCATGGGGTTGTTAACCAATGTCATAATATGTGTAATGACTGTTTAATGAGAAAATATTTGTCCTGTAAACCTTCACCTAAAGTACAATTAAAAAAAAAAAAAAAAGTATGGCCCTGAAGCAGATGTGAGGTCTTGGACACATCCCTTTATATTACTAAGTCCCAGTTTTCACATATGCAAAATTAAGACTGTTAGATTAGAAAAACTTTTAATATTTTTCAATCTTCTAAAATTAAAGTGTTTAAGTAGTACTGAGAAACTCGTAATTGGAGACTCATCTCTCAGCTGTTAAACTGCACACACTTTATACACACAAAAATATTTGTTAAAATAAAAGCAATCTTTTTACACTCTATTCCAAACTACTTGAAATTTTAAAAAGTCTGATAACACATTTTGAAAGAGTGTTTTATTCATTGCTTGGATTCTAGAGCTGAAGAAACAGCATCACCTACTAGACAGAACCGTCCTGCTTTTATGCATCCACAAAACATGGCATTTCCTAACTTTTTTATGGTGTGAAAGTTGTGGAACAAATTCGAACATGCCCTGAGACAGAAATAAAGCATGGAACTTTTCTAGCTAAATGGGGAGTTTTCTGTAAAAGTTAACAAAATTATTGTATCTTGAAACTTTTACTAGGATGTTATGTGGAAAGAGGGAAAAGATTTTGTAGCTTTACTTCTACTCATTGCCACTGAGTTGATTCCAATTCATAATGACCCTAGTTCAGAGTAGAACTGCTCTATAGGGTCTCCAAGGAGCAACTGGTAGATTCAAACTGCTGACCTTTTGGTTAGCAGCTGTAGCTCACTATAGCTCTTAACCACTGCACCATCAGGGCTCCACAAAAACTTGAGTTCACAACATACCTCCATCATTTTCTAATGGCCCGTGTGAGCCATTTTATCTATAAAATGGAAATAATGACACTTGCCTTGTAAGATGGTAGAGTTTTTCGTTAATGTACAACGGTGAATAACGTACAGAGATAAAGGTATGTTTTGAAGTGAATAAAAACTAGAGCTACATGCATCAACATGAATACATTTAAAAACTGATAGTGAGATAAAAAAGGTAAGTTACAGAAAGTACAGTATCATAATCCTTACCAAAAATGTTAAAATATATAAAATACTAGATTTTGTTTATGACATGTATTTGTTTATATATTTTAATAATAAATATATTTTATAATTTATACATATACATAATTTAAAGAAAGTACAGTATCATAATCCTTACCAAAAATGTTAAAATATATAAAATACTAGATTTTGTTTATGACATGTATTTGTTTATATATTTATATATTTTAATAATAGATATATTTTATATATTTATACATATACGTAATATAAAAATATGGGAATGATAGATACCAAATTCAGGATAGTAATTACTTCTAGGGAGGAAGAAAGGAGAAGTACCTAGAGGCCTGCAGTTGTATCAATATGTTTCTTTGTTAAGCTAAGCACAATGTTATTTTATTCTCAATAATTTTGAGTTATTTCATTAAACAAATTATTAAAGAGTAAATTCTATGATTGAGATAACATGTGTAAACGGCCAGGCACAAAGAAGGGGGTTCAATGATAACTATTATTTTGGAGTCTGGTTTTTCCCATACAAATCTCATGTACTGGATGAAAACAAACAAACATAATACATAGTTACTTTCAGAAGGTAAAGCACTCAAGTACTGATGAGCTTCTGCCAGGCAGGTTCACTAAACCCTAGCACTTGGCTATTTGGAAGATACAGTTCCATTAAATAGATAAAACTTTTAAGAGTTTTTCATTTCTCTGGAAGTTATTTAGCTTTATTTCAAATTTGTTCTGGACTACTATGACTAAATAAAGCCCAAGTATAATGTGAATGTTCCTTGATATGAAATATTTACTATACCAATGTAAGTCTTCTACTAGTTTACATTGTGGAATTTATTCTTAGAATCTTGCTTTCCTCTTCAGCTCAGCAAGCTGTTAAACCTTACTCACCTTGATTTGAGTATGAACCATTTCTCTACGATCCCTCCTGCTGTGCTGGACATGCCTGCCCTTGAGTGGCTCGACATGGGAAGCAACAGGCTTAGACAACTTCCTGATACTATAGTAAGGTAAAATAAATAACTTTCTATGCTATCAACAAAGGTCTTGAAACCAGTTATGGGAAAAACAAAAACCAAAAAGGATTCCAAGTATAAATGATCCACTGAGTTCTAAATATGCTGTTTTTTAATACTAGTCTATTTTCATTTACTCCTAGTAAAAGGTTTTGGGAGAGAAAAACTGGCTTTCTGATTTAAACAAATTAACAAACGCCACAACAGTAACACTGTTTAGCACATGCCAGACTAAGCACTTTAGAAATGGATGAGGTAACTAAGGCCCAGAGATATTAGCTAACTCATCCAAGATCACAGTAAGTTGGCAAGCCAGTGTTTGAACCTAGGCAGCCTGGCCCAACTCCATGCTGTTAAATAACCACTATGCTATACCACCTTGTATATAAAATATATTAAAAATGTTTCATATATTTTAACATTTTTGGTAAAGATTATGATGCTGTACTTATTATATGGGCATACTAATACTTTGTGATTTTCTTCTCTAAAGACTTTGACGATCAGGTTAAATAGCTTTTACTTCAGTTCTTTAAGAAATCCAATCAAAATAGTGAAGAATCTGCTATAGTTCTAGAATACAATTATTTCATTTCTATCACATGAGGAGAGCTGTAGTGTAGGTAAGAACTCTCCCATGTAGTTTCTCTAGAGTTCAGATAATATGAAGTCAGTTAACTTAATAGGTATACCAGATAAAGATGATGTTATAAAAGGTGACATTTCTATTATTTTTAAGTTAATGAAAACCAGGATTTCATATTATGTGAGATTAATTGTAGAAACTTTTTTTTCTTAATCCTTCAGAATGCAAAGTCTACATACTTTATGGCTGCAAAGGAATGAAATAACATGCTTGCCAGAAACAATCAGCACTATGAAGAATCTGGGTACGTTTGTTCTCAGCAACAATAAACTGCAAGATATTCCAGTGTGCATGGAGGAAATGACAAATCTGAGGTAAAAAGCTTTAGACACAAAACTGATATGTTCTTTCCTGGCTGCAGAACAAAGTAATATAGAGAAATTTTTATTAATAAATTTGAGTTCTCATTCATAAAAACAGATATATTAAATTTTTTTTCTAACTTTGAAATTTTGTAGTTGATGGCTGGAATTCATATAATACTGGTCTAAATTATTCAAGAAAGAATTTTTCAAATTCAAGTATTACTGGGATTTATTAGGTTTAGTAAATGTTCTACATCGATGACATTTTCATGAAAACCATCTTTATAACTGCTAATGAATCTCATTAGCAATATAAAACCTGGAAGAATAAAAATAGTGATTATTTTCCTTCTAAGTAACTATAAATGGACATAGGTAATTATGCTACAGATAAAAAGCATATATAGCATTTTACTAAGTTAATTGCTTTTGAACTCCCTCAAGTGTTCCCATAATTTAATTTCTTGACAGTGAGCATAAGACATCAGAATTCACACCAAAACCCACAACTTCCATAACAAACTCAATCATTTACTTATTCAGCAACTACTAAGCATCGTACTAGGTGGTAAAGACAGTGATAAATGAGACACAAATAAGTCTATCAAATATGCAGAAACTTTTCCATAGCATTAATTATATATTTAAGATGCATTAAAGTTGCTCTTATAAACTCTACCACATTAAATATATGGTATGGACTAACAGTTGCTTTTACAAGCTTTGAAAGCAAGTTGTCTAAAGCTATTTTTTTCCTTTAGGAAAGAAACTTGAAAGATGTCCAGTTATTGAAATCAGTTTAAAAAAAAAAGTAATTTAGTATATTATCATTTGATCTTTCTCCAGGGAAATAAATGTGCACTTCTATGGCTCCTATAAAAATACTGTTTTTTGGTGAACTGCTAGGTTTGTCAACTTCAGAGACAATCCACTGAAATTGCAAGTAACACTTCCTCCCAGTGAAGGCATAGGTGAAGAAGAACGGGAACTATTTGGTGTTCAGTTTATGCATGCATACATACAGGAGTCACGGAGAAGAGAAGGTATGAGATTTGTAGATAACACATAACACAAATTAAATATTCTTTTTGGTGGAGGAGTATGTGTACAATTAACGTCTTTCTATTAATTCCTTCACAGATCTCTCATTCCATCTTGCCAAATTCTAGCCTCTTGATCAATGTAGGAGGGAAAAAGTAAAATTCAAATCAGTTCATAGTTCTGATAAGAGGTTGGACACAGAGGTGGTAAAGATATTCAAAGTCTTTCTAGTGGAGTCAGGAAACAAATTCTTTGGCCAAGCCCTTGTGGAACAACCAAAAAGTGAATAAAGATGTGATTCTTAAAGCTTCACTACCTCACTCTATCAGTTTGTCACATGTCAGTTTACTCTAAGAAACACTATTTCCCAGCCCTTTTGTCTTTTTCTACAATCCACAAACAGGAAAAACATTTTGTCTAACCAGCAGCTAAAACGTGAGATTTTGATATACAGATTTCAACCATATAACCTCTGATAATTTAGAATTAAAAAACTTTTTTTTTTTTTTAAACTAACGAAGGAAAGCATTTAAATTAAGTAAAGATTAGGAGACAAGGACAAAGAGCATAATTCTGTGTTAATAAAAATGAAACAATGTTGTTGTTAGGTGCCGCTAGGTCAGTTTCGACTCATAGGAACCCCATGTACAACAGAGTGAAACACTGCTCTGTCCTGCGCCATCCTCACAATCTTTGGTATATCTGAGTCCATTGTTGCAGCTACTGAGTCAATCCATCTCATTGAGGGTCTTCCTCTTTTTCCCTGACCCTCTACCTTACCAAGCATGATGTCCTTCTCCAGAGACTGGTCCCTCCTGATAACATGTCCAAAGTATGTGAGACGATGTCTTGCCATCCTTGCTTCTAAGGAGCATTCTGGCCGTATTTCTTCCAAGACAGATTTGTTCTTTTGGCAGTCCATGGTATATTTAATATTTTTCACCAACACTGTAATTCAAAGGCATCAAATCTTCTTTATTCATTGTCCAGCTCTTGCGTGCATATGAGGCAAATGAAAACATCATGGCTTAGGTCAGGTGCACTATAATCCTTAAAGTGACATCTTTGCTTTTAACAATTTAAAGGTCTTTTGCAGCAGATTTGCCCAAGGCATCATTTGATTTCTTGACTGCTGCTTCCATGGGCATTGATTGGGGATCTAAGTAAAATGAAATTCTCGACAACTTCAATTTTCTCTGTTTATCATGATGTTGCTTACTGGTCCAGTGAAACAATAGTAATAAAAATCATGGTTTTATAATTCACGAAAATTGAAGCAAGTTTTTAACTTAAAAGATAAACTTTTGTTCGACTCAATGCAACAAAGTTACCACTTTCTTTGCAGAATGAGTATAATCAGCATCCAACAGCTTTTCAGGTAAGGGAAATTTTTTTTTTTTAGCAAATCCAATAATGATGCTGATTAGATTTACTGTAGCAAGGTAACAGAAGCAACAGAATGGAGGATAGGTTGGAGGAAGCCAAGAGTTATAGTAGCTTGGGGTCTAGTATTCGAAAGCAGAGTATAAATATACTACAGACAAGGAGGAGACAGAATTGATGATTGAAGATGACAAAAGGGAGAAGTCCAGGATGAACCTGGATGGTAGTGTCAAGATGGGGGAATGAAGCTGGTTTTGTGGGCAACATCCGGCAGTAGAAGAGGAAGATCAGTTCCAGTTTTAAATTTCATGTACCTGTGGGACATGTAGAAAGAGAGGAAGTTGTGTAGATGAACCTAAAGATCAAGAAGTGATTTGCTGAACCTAAAAATTCTGCAGGCTCAGGAATATATACGCATACTCACATAGTCACTTTTCTCATGATATGTAAAAGGAAACAGACAATGTTGGGAAAACAATAATCTTGACCTAAGGCTGGTATGTTGAAGGACAAAAGCTATCTTTCCAAGTATTTGGTATCATTGTCAGAGACATAACATTAAGCTAAATGGGCTACAGGACTGTAAAATTCTTGTGTGTGAATGTGTTTTATGAAAACAACTGAGATTATACCTTTTATAGAATATCTTTTATTTCTGGGCACAAATTGTTAAATGATGCTAAACAAATTGTATGATGCAAATCAACATTACCTGATACAATATAATCTAATTATTGAATAATGTATTATTTCCATTTATATTCTTTTGTCTGGGGGCCTTGAGTAACTAACTTAAAAATAATCAAACTAACCTACTTTAATGATACTTGACATAAAACAGAAAACATAACTTAAACCAAGACAAAATTAAAGCCTGCCTACTGTATTATTAAAAAAATAATTCATGAATTACTACTAACAGTTAACATTTATTATTAGTCTGTGTTTGGAACTGTTCTAAGCATTTCACATGTGCTAACCAAAGGCTGGCGGTTCAAATCCACCAGCCGCTCCAAGGGAGAGAGATGTAGCAGTCTGCTTCCATAAAGATTACAGCCTTGGAAACCCTATAGGGGTCTCTATGAGTTGGAATTGACTCGACAGCAATGGATATGGTTTTTGGTATCTCATTTGATGCTGGCAAAAACCTTGTGAGGTAGGTATTATTATTATTATCTCCATATTATAAGGAGGAAATTGAGGCACAGAGAGATTAAGTAGGTCACAGAGCTGAGAGATGGGAGAGCTGGGATTTGAACCTAGGCAGTCTGACAAGACATATGAGATTAAACTAAAGTAAAAAGGTCAGAAATTAAAAATGGGGTGGGCTTCTAATTTATAATTCACATAATCACAGATCTACAGGATAAATACAGTTATCCAACAATATCATTATGATCTCTAAATTAGTAATTCTGGATCCTTGTCTTGGCACATACACTAACAACTAAGTAAAGATAAATTTTACAAATAAACAAATTAAGAATAAGATGTGGAAGAGTTAACAGCTGAACCATATGTTTGGGTTTAATATTTCCTCATGCTACATGGTTGCTATGCATCAGAATCGACTCAATGGCAACGGGTTTGTTTTGTGCATAGATATCACCACTGAAATTAAATAAAGCCTATGTGTGAGAAAATTTTTGGTTTCATTATGTAATTCTATTTTATTCCCAGTTAGTCTGCCAAATAGGAGAACATACTTGTATTTGTACTTGTACGTGTACCGTATTTTTACACAAATAATGCGTGCCTTCTACATTTGTTTGCCAACTGCTCCCTCCCCCGCTAGGTATTTTCATAGGTGCTACTATGCTAACATTTTTACATGTTGCTGTAAAAACATCAGCATAGAGCGCTTATGAAAATATCTCAAGGGGAGGGAGTGGTTGGCAAACAAATGTAGAAGGTGCGTGTTATTTGTGTAAAAATACGGTAAACACTGCCTGTTGAAAGATTTCAGATATCTAGTTATATTCAGGTTATTTGCAGATTTAAAATTTGTGAATTATGCTTATAAGTAATCTGGTTTTTTGGATGTCCTAACCAGATAATAATCCAACTAATAATGCAGTGAAATAGCTTTTTTTTTCCTTAAAAATACCCCTTCAGTTCTGGTTTATTTGCCATGGACAAATTCTGACAATATGTAAATACAGGTATGGCTCTGGAAATCTGAAGGTGACTTCACTGACTGTGAACATATTTGAATTTGTTTGCATTAAAAAAAAAAAATCACAATTCATTATCCTTTCATCTGCATTAGAAAAAAAAATCAAAATACATGCCAAATTCTCAGATTGGCCCTTGTTACAAACTGATACTTGATCATTATCTAAACTTGAGAAATAAAAAATATTAGATAAAACTAAAGGAAAGTAAGTTTCCAAAATTAATGCAAATAGAAAGTTAAAATGATAGTTACATGTTGATATGTTGTGTGTGTTTCAGATAACCAAGTCAACTGTTGACAACTTTACTGGTCTCTAAAAATACTGATGGATAATATAATTCGAGATGCCCTGCTGAAGAGGATTACTTTGAGAATTTGGTGAATTCTCTAATGTTTGGACTTCTGAAGTGAAAAACAAAGCTATTACCAAAGTTTCATGAGGCCACATTTTTTAAAGTTCATGTTATTTAAATTATATTTTCATGAATATAAAAAAATACAATTCAAAATGTTATTTTCTTGGCAGAAGACAGACGTTCAAAATTTCTTTTCCTAAGCAACTGCTTCTGGTGATGAAGAATGACTTGGTAGAGCTGTTAACAGTACATTTTCCAAAGACACCAGAGGGTCTGTATAGTACTGTAAAGCAGGACTGAATCCCTTCTGCTGTAAATACTGTACCCGGCCTTGGTCAATCAGTAATTTACAAAGATGTCCTATTTTCTTCTTTTCTCCAATAGTAAGAAACCTAAATCAGATAAACACACATCAAACAATGTTAAAATTCTATAAGCATTTATAAAAAATCACTTTAGTCACTTCTATTTACTGAGAAGCTATTAAATAACCCACCATATAATAGGTACTATATCCAGTGCTTCAAAGATATTTTATTTATGACCACAATAAAAAAAAATACGTAATTTCACTTATTCTAAAATATATTTTCATGAATGTTTATAATACTCATCTACAAAGAAAGTAACAGCAATAATCACATTTCTCCTTTAATGTTGTGCATTACAAAAGTAATCACTTACCCAGGTAAACTATCAGCACTATCATCTGCGATTCTGTATCCGTCGTCATCATGCACTTCATGCTCATCATTCTGATTATCTTTTTTCTTTGTGGTAATATTTGAGGCTTCCAAAGATGTTTTCCGCATCCCACAAGTGGCCCAACTACTCATTCGCTGGAAATAGTGGAATTCCACTGCTCCAAGGCCTAGAGCCCTGAAATATTCTTTGCCCACATAATGTCTCCAATCACACCTGTGGTGACAACAGAGTGCAATAACAATGCCAGCCACAGGGGTCCACTTCTCTGGGACATTTTTTTCACTTCCTTCCTTGGCCAAAGTGTTAATTTCTGTTTCTGTTTTATCATTCTTTATGCGTTTGGCTAAAGGTTCTTCATTCCTTTCCTCACAACTGGCAGCATAGGTTTCAAGCAAACATCGTAATGCAAGATCTGCAAACACAATTATGTGGCCCCCCCAAACCACATCATCTTTAAAAATAAATATTTTTTACATTTATTAAGCAGTATGGTTTTTAAAAACCCAACAATAAAAACAACAGAAGCCTACTTAGCTTTATATTTGTAGAAATTCCTTCATGAATTATCAACTTTGTTCATATTTGCTCTTTTTTTCATCATCTTCTCGCTTTCTCTAAAGATTTATTCTGCAGGAAGCCCATTTCCCAAAGAAACTGCCTGAAGCTTAAGATCTACAGTTGGGAAAAACTTGAACTGGCTCTCATTTCTCTGATCCTAGCTGAGGAAATGACTTGTATAGGAAAAAATTTACCTGTATTTACATTTCAGGGAAGTTTTGAGCTTAAGAAACTTAAAGGAAGAAATAAAGAAGAAAGGCAGTTTTGCTTAGGTTGATGTCAGTCCTTAAACTTAATATGTTCACAGCAAATAGTGAAGAGTTGAGGAGCTGAGAAGGTCAGGATGTGGAAGGTAGGCCTCAGTGCAGTCTTACTATATTTAAGAGAGTCATTCAATGAATAGCTACTGAGTGCCTTTCATGTGCAAAGAATTGAGGATGCCATGATAATTAATACAGACAAACTTGTAGGCAGATGTACTCCAGATTAAAATAAAAAATTTTAGTGCATTTTAAACCTAAGCAAATGGATGTTTGAGGACTATAGCTATTTCCCATTGACAACTGCTATACTGTTGACAGTACTGGAGAGACCCCACATATACTCTTCTGTAAAACATGTATTTTCTGTTTGATTAGATTGTTACCCTGTTTAATCAAAAGTATATATATTTTCAAATTTTACTACCCTAAGATGTCACAAGTGAATATTAAATGATCTTATATTCATTAATATATTTAATTCAATATATGAATTCAAGTCAGCAAACATTAAAGGGAATTCACTATAGAAATAGCTAACCTATTATTTTGCAAACTATTATCTTGTGACAAAATATATCAGGCCACTATTTTATTTACATTTGACTTATATGATTTTCAGAAATGTGAGTAACTAGAAAAATGATTAAAAGAATGAAGTTATTTTAGAATCAGAAGGAGCTGCAGTAATCTATTTCAACCCATCATTTATAAGAACTTAAGTGACAAAGCCACATACTTAGTAAGGAACAAGAAAATACAGCAAATCTTGGCCAAGATTATTCATTCACTCAAACATTTACTGATTCCTGTTACATACCAAACACCACGTTAGCACAGGCCCTATGCTAAAAAAATTCACAATGTAGTGGGAAAATTATATATATAAATGAATAATTATAATACAATAAGGCAAAGATATGCAGAAGGCAATATGATAAATTCTAAGCAGGCATATCTTAATATTTAAGGAGGCTCCTTGAAAGTGGTGACAACTGACCTGAAGCATGAGTAGAAACTGACCAGTTTTTTTGTTTGGGTAGGTGGGAGGAATTCCAGGTAGAGTAGAAACAGTATGGTATGTAGGGAAAAAGGAGCCCTGGTGGTGCAGTGGTTAAGTGCTCATCTGTTAACCAAAAGGTTGGTGGTTTGAACCCACCAGCTGCTCTGCAGAAGAAAGATGTGACAGTCTGCTTCTGTAAAATTTACAGCCTTGGAAACCCTATGGGGCAGTTCTACTCTGTCCTATAGGGCCACTATGAGTCAGAATTGACTAGACGGTCACTGGTATGTAGGGAAAACAAGGTTTAATGTTGCTGAACGATAAAGGCAAGAAGTGGCAGAGAGGAAGGCACAAGCTAGATTATTGAGACTAGTACATTAAACAGCTTGGACTTTATCCTGTAGGTGATTGGGAGTTACTGAAGAGTTTTAAGAAGGGGAAAGACATTCAGTATGCAGCATATGAATCTTAAGTTAATATTTAAAGAACAGGTAGTAGAAGAAGTCCATTAAAGTAACAGAGAATAAATGGCATACATATAGGGGAAGAATGAGGAAAAAGAGTGTCACAAAAAGAAGGGAACAATTTCAGTAAGAGTAAGCAACTGCAGCAGAGATGTTTAGTAAGATAATAGAATAATAGAGTAAGGAAGTGAGAATTCAGATAGAGTGAATAAAAGGGAAAAGTGTGTGGGACATGAGAAATAGATCTGGCCAACGTAGATTACACTTTTGAGAAACTTGGATTAGATGTGTAGGAGAGAGATTAGATAGCAGCTAAAGAAAACTAAGAATCAAAGGAGTGTGCTTCCTCTGTCCCCTATATCCCAGGATAGAATTGGCTTACTTCAGAAAGCTTTTATGATGCGTGAATGCAGTCTAAAAACTATCAAGGACAACACAAATATATAGTACTCAAAGCCATTTCCACCCAATTTAAATAATGTTTTATGGAGGCTATAAATTTCCCACGTGGACGATGATATTAGCAGGAGGCAGGAAGAAGAGGTAATAATAGTTAACATTTACTGAGCACTAATATATGCCAATATTATGTGACCTAGAAAATTATACATTATTAGCCCCTACCTCTATGAGGTAACCAAAGCTCAGAAAGGTTAACTTGCCAAGATTACACAGCACAGTTGAACCCTAGACAGTCTGATTCCAAACCTCACGTTCTTTTCATTTCAACATGTTAAATCTGATGGATAAATGTGCTAAAACAAGACATCTTAGCTTTTTTTGCCTAACATTTCTTTTTTCTTTTTTGTCCTTGCAAACATCCCAGAATCCTGATACACAAAAATCATCTGGTGGGAGAGAGTTCAGAGTCCTACCAAATCAACTCATCTAAAAAGTCAGTAACTTCTGGGATGGAACCACATTAAGTTCCATAAATGATTCCTTTTTTAGTTGAAATATAACCCAAAGAACTTTAAGGTCCCATATGACACAGTATTTACCCATAAAATTCTTAAATCATCCTGCAAAAAGTGTAAACAGGAAAGCTCTGTATTTGAGATTACATAGGCCAGTGCTACCACAGAGCCCAGGTGGCACAGTGGTTAAAAGCTTGGCTGCTAACTGAAAGGTTGGCAGTTCAAAACCTCCAGCGGCTCCATGGGAGAAAGATGTAGCAGTCTGCTTCCATAAAGATTTACAGCCTTGGAAACCCTATGGGGCAGTTCTACTCTGTCCTATAGGGTTGCTATGAGTTGGAATCCACTCGACAGCAGTGATTTTAGAGCAACCATGAAGATTAATGGGTTGCGAACATAAGTTATCAAAATTATTCAAAAGAGGCTATTTAAATGGTTGGGACCATGTTAAGCTAAAAATTTAATATGTTAGTCTAGACATTATTAGTCTGTTACATACCTGTTGCCACACCACACAGATGCTTTCCAATTCCTACCACAGGTAGTTTTTCTTCTATTAGCAAAGGAACCTTGTCTGAAATAAAGGGAAATGAGAGCTCAGTTAGTTCCTTGTGAGATAAGTTAAATGATGTGGCCTTCCAAAAGAAAGAAATAATTAGAACCTCTGGATTTTAGATCTGAAAGAGATACCAAAAAAAAAAAAAAAAAAAAGAAAAAAAAATCCTCCCTTTATAGTTTAGGAATGACGGGTTTAAAGATGTAGCAACTTGCTAAGTAACAGCTGGCTACTTACAGAGCCAAAATTAGAGTAAAAGTTTCTTGACTCTTAAGTCAAAGCTTTCCTCTATACCATGCTAAATATTAAATAAAAGGACTCAGAATTTGCCTTTCTAGAAGACTTATTTTGCTAAGTATTAATCCATCAATAAAAGGACTCAAAACTTTCCCTACTAGAAGATTTATTTTGCATGAATAATACAGTTAACTCATAATACATGCATATATTATATATACACGTATGTATAACGTACAGTATAAACAGTATTCAATATTATAATTAAAACTATAAATAGGACTTTTAATATATCTTAATGATCAAGAATAAGGTATCATCTAAGCTATTCACACTGTTCTGAAAATAATAACCGTAACAGTTCTGAAACACTAAAGAAAAAATATTTCAGCAAGATAAAGCAGTACCCGTTGCCACTGAGTTGATTCCTACTCATAGTGACCCTACACGACAGAGCAGAACTGCCCTATGGAGTTTCGAAGGCTGTAATCTTTATGGAAGCAGACTGTCACATCTTTCTCCTGTGAAGCGGTTGGTGGGTTCAAACCACTGACCTTTCATCTAGCAGCTGAGTGCTTAACCACTGCACCACTAAACCCACTACTGTCGAGTCAATTCTGACTCATAGTGATCCTACAGAATAGAGTAGAACTGCCCTATAAAGTTTCCAAGGTGGTAATCTTTATGGTAGCAGACTGCCACACCATTCTCCCATGAAACAGCTGGTAGGTTCAAACCACTGACCTTTTGGTTTATAGCTAAGCGCTTTAACCACTGAGCCACTAAGGCTTGATAATGCAGTAAAATGTAGAATATCACACTCATGGCTTTCATCTTTTTCTCCTATTCATTTTCCTTCTTCAAAGATTCTAAAATAAAAAGTATGCCTCCCCCTACAAATTCTACTACAGCATCTAGTCCAAAGGAGGTGCTAAGTAAATATTCCAACTCTTCTGATGTCTTGCTTTGAGATGGTAATACATGCTATAAGAAATTGGTGCCAATGGAAGTCTTATGCGCTGCTAGTGGGAATGTAAAATGGTACCACCACTATGGAAAACAATATGGTGCCTCCTTAAAAAGCTAAAAATAGAAATACCATACTATCCAGCAGTCTCACTCCTAGGAATATCCTAGAGAAAAAAGAGCCATCACATGAACAGACATATGCACACCCATGTTCACTGCAGCATTATTCATAATAGCAAAGAGATCGAAATAACCTAAGTGCCCATCAACAGATGAATGGATAAACAAAAGTATGGTACATACGTACAATGGAATACTATGCAACAACAAAGAACAATTATGAATCCACAAAACGGATGAATCTGGAGGGCATTACACTGAGTGAAATAAGTCAATCACAAAAGGACAAATATTGTATGAGACTACTATTATAAAAACCCAAGAAAAGGTTTACACACAGAAAAAAACAATCTTTGAATGTTATTACGGAGGGGAGGTGAAATCACTAAGTACACAGTAGACAAGTGTTAACTTTGGTAAAGGGAAAAACAACACACCATACTGGGAAGTCAGCACAACCTGACCAAGGCACAGTCACAGAAGCTTCCTAGACACGTTCAAACACCTTGAGGGACCAAGTTACTGGGGCTGAGGGCTGCAGACCATGGTCTTGGGGGACATCTAGGTCAACTGGCATAACACAGTTCATAAAGAAAATGTTCTACCTCCTACTTTGTTGAGTAGCATCTGGGGTCTTAAAAGTTTACAAGCAGCATCTAAGATACATTACTGGTGCTATCATGTTTGGAACAAAGGAGAATGAAGAAAACCAAAGATATGCAGAAAATATTAGTCCAAAGGACTAATGGATCACATCACAGCATCCACCAGCCTGAGCCCAGAAGAACTAGATGATGCCTGGCTAGCACTACTGACCTGTCTGACAGGGATCACAACACAGGGTTCTGGACAGAGGACGAGAAAAACATAGAACAAAATTCAAAATCACAAAAAAACACCAAACTTACTGCTCTGACACAGACTTGAGGAACCCCCAAGACTATGACCCCTGGACACCCTGCTGGCTCAGAACTGAAGCCACTCCTGAAGTCTACCTTTCAGCTAAAGATTAGACAGGCCTATAAAACAAATAGTAACACATGTGAGAAATGGGCTTCTTAGTTCAGTCAAGTATACAAGACCAAATGAGCAACACCTGCCCAAACGCAAAGACCAGAAGGCAGGAAGGAACCGGAAAACTGGACAAATGGACAAAGAGAATCCTGGGTGGAAAGGGGGAGAATGCTGACACACTGCAGGGATTGCAGTCTATGTCACAAAATAATTTGTGTATACATTTTTGAATGAGAAACTAATTTGCACTATAAATTTTCACCTAAAATGCAATTAAAAAAAAATTGATGCCAAGCAGAATAGTTCGCCTTTGTTTACAGAGGTTTAAATTATGGTGCTTGAAGAAGCTTACCATCAATTAGTGTAAAGAGAAAGCATGTCTAAGCAAGCCCTTCCGTGTTTATGCTTGACACATTAACTTATCTCCTTGCCCTTCTATTTCTTTGAGCTTGGAAAACAGGGCAGATGATCGGGGCAAGAACGGCAGAATGAACACAAGCACCATTTTGTTCCCTGCTAAAACTCCACCAAAGGAAAAGTGAAAGGATTTGTTAAAAGGCATAAACTATACAAGGTCTGGAAGAAGAGGAAAGGAGACAAAAATAGGCAAGGCTAAGAACCAACCCAATTTAATCCATGAATCTCGAAAAGGCCGAGGAACTATGGGCATCAGGCACCTTGGAAGTGGAGCTGGAGTGGCTTTAATAGAGTACTGGTAGACAGTTTAAGAAGTAGTCAGATCCCTACCTCATAGCCTTTCTCACTTGGTGGAAGACTAGCAATTAATTCTCTGGAGAAGGTAAAACAGGGGGTCTGTGGACTGAGGGATAACAGCAATTGAGAGATGAAGTGTGGTAAAATAGAAGGATTAAGTGAGTGTGCGTACACTTCAACTATTGTTCCCCACTGGGTCCCAGAATGATGGTAGTTAGACCTTTATCCTCTACAGAGGCGACTGGAAGGCTTCTCTGGGGAATCTAACCAGCCCAGGAAGAAATATCAAACCTTAAGCAGATCACCCCAGGGTGAAGTTCAGAGTTTACAAACCCACCTATATACTCAGATCTTTTAACTATGACCAGACCATTAAGGAGTACCAGATGTTTGAGGACAGCCTCTAACTTGAAAGAGACACACCAAACAAATGGAAATGAACTATTTTGTGAAAAAGAGATTATAAAGGTAGAATAATTACCAAAGAATGAATGCAAAGAAATTGCCTGGAAAGCTGAGAGGAATGGAATCTCAAAACCAGGTTTTCTCATCCTGGGCATTATTGACATTTTGGGCCCAATAATTCTTTGTTGTGGGGTACTGTCCTGGACCTTACAGAATGTTTAGCAGGATCCCTGGCCTCTCTACTCACTACATGTCAACAGCACACCTAATGCTGTAACAATCAAAAATGTCCCAGATATTGCCACGTGTCCCCCTGGGAAGCAAAACTGCTCCTGATTGGAGAATTGCTGCTACAAATTAAAGGGTCCACCAAGTGCCCAGCACAACATATAAAAATAGAACCATGGCAAGGCATATCACTGTGAAATTTTGGAACATCAAGAACAAAGAATAGAGCCAATAAATTTCTAGAAAGAAAAATGTCAATCATGTACAAGAAATCAGGATTCAGAGCAGATTCAGTTTTTAACAGCAACACTGTTGTTGGCAGATGCCTTCAAGTCGGTTCCGACTCATAGCAACCCTATGTACACAGAACAAAACACTGTCCTGTTCTGCACCATCCTCGCAATGGTTGTTATGCTTCAGCCCACTGTTGCAGTCACTGTGTCCATCTATCTCATTGAGGGTCTTCCTCTCTTCTGCTAACCCTCTACTTTACCAAGCACAATATCCTTCTCCAGGGACTGATCCCTTCTGATAACATGTCCAAAGTATATAAGACATAGTCTTGCCATCCTTGCCTCTAAGGAGGATTCTGGCTGTATTTCTTCCAAGACAGATATGTTCGTTCTTTTCGCAGGCCATGGTATATTCAATATACTTTGCCAATACCATAATTACAAGGTGTCAGTTCTTCTTCCATCTTCCTTATTCATTGTCCAGCTTTTGCATGCATGAGGCAACTGAAAACATCATGGCTTGGGTCAGGTACACTGTCGTGGATTGAACTGTGTCCCCCAAAAATATCTGTCAACTTGGCTGGGTCATGATTACCAGTATTGTATGACTGTGTATCATTTTGTAATCTGATGTGATTTTCTCACGTGTTGTAAACTCGATCACTATGATGTAATAAAATGGATTAGTGACAGTTATACTGATGAAATCTACAAGATTAGGTAGTGTCTTAAGCCAATCTCTTGTGAGATATAAAAGAGAGAAGCAAGCAGAGACACACGGGAACCTCACACCACCAAGAAAGCAGTGTCGGGAGCAGAGCGTGTCCTTTGGACCTGGGTTCCTGTGCTGAGATGCTCCCAGACCAAGGGAAGACTGATGCATCACAAGGACAAGGACCTTCTCCTGGAGCTGACACCCTGAATTTGGACTTGTAGCCTGCTGGACTGTGAGAGAATAAACACCGCTTTGTTAAAGCCATCCACTTGTGGTATTTCTGTTATAGCAGCACTAGATGACTAAGACACGCACCTTAGTCTTTAAGGTGATACCTTTGCTTTTTAACACTTTAAAGAGGTCTTTTGCAGCAGATTTGCCCA